GTTGCCGGAGGGAACCGCAGAATTAAAAAATATTTTTAAAAATTCGGAACGCGTTGCATATAACGCGTTGCCTGAGGAACCCGCCAGAATTAAAAATTATTTTTAAAGGAAATTGAAACGCGTTGCAGAAAACGCGTTGCCGGAGGCAACCGCCAGAAATAAAAAATATTTTTTTTAATACGGAACGCGTTGCAAAAAACGCGTTGCCTTAGGCAACCGCGAGAATTTAAAATATTATTTTTAAATTCGGAACGCGTTGCAGAAAACGCGTTGCCAAAGGCAACCGCAAGAAATTAAAATTAGTTTTTTTTTAATTCGGAACGCGTTGCAAAAAACGCGTTGCCAAAGGCAACCGCAAGAAATAAAAAATATTTTTTTAATACGGAACGCGTTGCAAAAAACTCGTTGCCTTAGGCAACCGCGAGAATTTAAAATATTATTTTTAAATTCGGAACGCGTTGCAGAAAACGCGTTGCCAAAGGCAACCGCCAGAAATAAAAAATATTTTTTTTAATACGGAACGCGTTGCAAAAAACGCGTTGCCTTAGGCAACCGCGAGAATTTAAAATATTATTTTTAAATTCGGAACGCGTTGCAGAAAACGCGTTGCCAAAGGCAACCGCAAGAAATAAAAAATATTTTTTTAATACGGAACGCGTTGCAAAAAACGCGTTGCCTTAGGCAACCGCTCAAAAATTATTTTATAAAAATTGGGAACGCGTTGCAATAAACTTCTATTTAATGTTAAAAATATACGGGGCCGAAGGCCCCGTATAATTATTTTAATAATTTTTAGCTAGCAAAAATAGATGAAAAAATTACAAAAATCACTAGCAAAAATTACATGCGGGCCGAAGGCCCGCATGTTTTTATGACTTAAATTCAAAAGTTTATAACTTTTGAAGTATTAGTCATTGAAAGATGCTTGAGGTGTCATTCGATGGGGAATTGAAAGAGGAATTGAATGAGAATATTTTCAAAGGTGTCGCTTGAGTCTAAGACTGGACATTTGAGTCTGAAGTTTTCAAATACTGGGAAATTAACCCAAATTGAATTATCTCGATTGTAATAACGCTGGAGTCAGCTTTAATACCCAAAAGCTATTAAAACTACTCAGCAATTCGCGCCGAACGCTGGTTTATACATATTATTTGTAAATGTAACATTTACAGTCAATTCCAATTTATTATCAGCGTTTACCACAAATTGAAGAATACAAAAATTCATAAATAAGAGGAAAAAGAAATTTTTAATAAAAATTGTTTTGAACATTTTTGTTTTAAATTAATTATTAAAAATAAATAAATTAATATTATTTAAAAAATTTATCATTAAATATTTTAATTTATCTAAAATATATGAAAACCTTAAAAAATAAAAGAAAAACCTTCTCTTAAAGAGATAGAGAATTTTTTGACATCTCGATTCTCGAAATCTCGATACCCTGCCTCATATCACCTCTTATTTTAGGCCTCGTACTAATACTTTGTACTTATGAAACTACTTCCTAAAGGATTTTGGAAGGCCAAAAAGCGAGATTTTGTCTAATTGTAATTTTGTTTTGTATAATTTTATATTTATAATTTGTCTAATTGTCTTTTGCATCTCAAATAAAAATATATGGAAATAAAAACATAAACGTCGCATTCTCATAAGAATAGAGACAAATATGTAAATAAAACAACTTGAAGTCTAACTAGAGCAACCTAAACATGACTTTCAATCATTTACCACCAAAAGATCGTTATTTTTAAAGATAATTAAAATTTTAAATTAAATTTATAAATATTAAATTTATAACTATTAAAATATTTAAAAATTGTTTTTAAAGTCTGTGGGGGAAAATGATAAAAGGGTAATAAATATGTAACATATAAATACTTAGACAAGCAAGCTAATTTGCTATTTACATATGTATGCACTTTAAGACAAAAATAAATTTATTTTTCGGCAAATGTCAAAGCTAATTTGACTTTTAAACAGACATAGAATATATTTCATAATTCAAAGTGCATCGAAAAACGAGAATTGCGAAAAGGCTCAAGACTGGGAAAGACTTAAATAACTTTCTGAGCTGGGATTGAGGCTGAGAAAATTGAGACACGGAAAATTGACATCTCCAACACAAACGAAAATTTTTAGATTTTCTTAAAAAAGCAAATCACTGTAAAGCATATAGTAGCGAAAGGCTATGCAGTAGGCGGCGTGGTGTAATGGATAACACATCAGTCCGATCTACTGAAGATGCTGGTTCGCACCCAGCCGCCGATTAACCTCTAGCAGAAGGAGAGAAATAGCTATAGCCCAGCTGCTTTACTTCACTCATAATTGTTTTTCCATTGTTACTCAAAATGTTTTTGTGTAAAAATAATTTTCCAACTTTTATAACTCATTTAACTCACTACAGAAATCACCAGACGTCTCGTAACATTATTGCTAGGATAATATACTTAATGTTTAAGTGTAATATTTTTACTCATTTAAAAATTTAGAATAAAAAACAATTAAATGTAATATTGGTACTACTGAAGAAAAGGGTGCTTTTTCTGCGGACTTATTTTGCGGACTTTTCCTTTCTTTTAAATGTTTCTTTTTTAATGTTTTGTTTGTCTTGCTTGTAGCAAGTTTTGCTTGTAGCAACTAACGGTCAAAGGATTGATTTTTATGTCAATTTGAAAAATATGTGTTCACCATTAATTTGAACATTATAAACGTTAAAATTGACTTTAACTATATTTTCAATTACCCGATGATGAATTTCAACAATGGATCACTGATCTCGGAATGCTTCATAGAAAAAGAATATGTGATTGTGGACAGAAATGCGGGTAATTTCAAACCTTGTCCCCTCCCCATTATTTTTATTACCTAAGATTGTACAAAATGGTTGTTCAATATTGAGTTCATTTTATTTTTTCAGTTGTTCAATATTTTTAAATATAAGTAAGAATGTAATGTTTTTACACAGAAATTCATAATGTTATACACCAAATCAATTTTATTTAATTCTTTTTTGGTTTAAATTGTTTTCGAAGGCAAAAAATAAGTGTATGACTATGTATAAAATTAATCTTCTCTTTATCAATGTCACTTGTTTGAATATGCCACAGAGCAAATAGAGGAAGGAGAGGAAGAAGAAAATCTGACCTTTATGTACAATCTTAGGTAAGAAAAATAATAGGGGGGAGGACCTTTGACAGTTAGTTGCTACAAGTAAAACATTTAAAAGAAAGGAAAAGTCCGCAAAAAAAGTCCGCAGAAAAAGCACCCTTTTCTTCAGTAGTGCCGTAATATTTTATTTTCATTTGACCTTCAAAATAAATTGCTCATGCGAAAAAAATTTGACAATTATAGAGCTCATTTATTTGAAGAGAGAATGAAAATTGATAAAATATCATTTTCAAAAATTAAAAAGAAAGTTAACATTTATCGTTGCTCACATTTCTAATTGATTTTATCTAATTCTTTGTCTAGAAAATTTGAGAAATCAAAACTTAAAATTGCATGTTTTTTACTCTTCATGTAGGACAAAATCACAAAATGCTGAAATGTTTTTCTCGTGTACATACATATTTCTGAAAAAATAAAATATGTATTTTCATCAGTATTATCAAATGCTTTTTAGTCCCAAACTAGTGACCCGCGCGGGATTTTGCGGAATTCCGTCCCGCAGATTTTAAAAAAATTTTATCCCGCGGGATCCCGCAAACGCAATTTTGCCGGTCAATATTCCAAACTAACAAATCTCAAAAATCACAAAAAAGAGGAAACCAAAATTCTTCTAATATAAAGTCTAGTACCTCAACTTTTTCTATTTTTATATTTTTTTTGTCTAGAAAAGAATATTAAGCTAGTCGGGAAAATTTCTTCTAAACGAATTACTAAAGCTTTTCTGTTTACTCTGCCACATATAAAAATAAACACGACATACCCACTTTAAAAAATCGATAGAATAAGCTTGCTTAATCCGCTGCGGCTCTTTTTTCTTTTAGTCAAAGCATAAGAATTTATTCACCAATTGCAGTTAAAGTCTGTCAACAGAAAATAAAAAATTGTTGGTAAAGCTAATTACTAATATTTTTTGTTGAGTCATTTTCGAATTAAATTTAAAGAAAAGCTTAAATTCTGACCCTTTCGTTCTTTCATTCTTGACAATTTCTATTTAAATTGCCTCCATTCGATTAAATAATCAAATCAACGGTGCACTTGTACATTAGACATTTTTAAAATTTTTCGTCTTTCGAGTGTTTTGATTTTAGATATTTTGAAGTTTTTCGCCAATTTTACTTCAAAAGATCGAATTTTTTAAAGAAATCCTTTTTATTTTCCGAAATCTCGATTTTTTCAATTTTATTTTTATGCGGATTAGGGTTGACATAACCAGTTATTAACCGGTATCTCCTATTTAGGTTCTGGTTAATTCGGCAAAACCCCGGTTAACGGTTTCGGTTCGCTTAACCGTTTTGCCCAACCCTGATATTCAATTTAATCAAAAATTCTATCATTTTTAGATAAATTGGCAAACTTTATTAAACAATTATAATTGAATAAAGCATGGCTGATGATCAGGTTCTTATTTTCACCCAATAATTAGGGTTGCCGTTTTCGAACCGGGATGTTCGATCATTTTTTCGGGCCTCATTTTTATCTAATTGGGCCGTTAGAGTCTTTCCCTTTGCGGACTCATTTATGTAAAGAATGGTCAGTCGTTCTTTCTCATTATCACTATTTACCTGTGGCAGCATTCAATAAGCCATTTATACATAAGTTAGTCCGCAAAAAAGGTAGTGATAAACGAAGAATACCTTAAAAATTTTCAGCGGCCGCCGGGTCGTCAAGCGGATGAAGCAATAGTTCCTCTTACGGGTGAACGAGGAAATAACGACAAAAAGAAAGGCGGATGGAAGGATAAAAAGAATACTATCAAAAAATCGTTCAAAGTCAAATCAAACGATGAGAAGAAAACCGAAGATTTGGCTGAGCTTAAGAAGGAAATGAAAATGGTTATTTTTAAAATTTTTATTAAGGGAAGAATCGGGCTTTTATTTTCTCCTTGTGTCGTTATGGATTTTATAATTATTTTTTTGGCTTGATCATTCAGGGCCATAGCTAGGGGTGGAGGGAACCCCCCTCCCCCCAACCCTCCGAAATGGGGTAAAGTAAAAATTTGGGGAAGGGATTGGGCAAAAAAGTGAATTTTTTTGGCCTACGGTTTTCTAAAATTCTCAAAAGTTCGTCCAAAAATTTACGCAGAAAAATTTTCTTCGTTTGCCCCCCCCCCTGAAAATATATCCTGGCTACGGACCTGAGCTCATTCTACGAGTAACTCTTCATTTTTTTTATTAATTTATCGTTTAAGGATGAACATCGTATTCCTTTGGAAGAATTATGTGCTGCTTATGAAACCGATATTGAAAGGGTTTTATTTCTTATCTAAAAATATGTATCTAAAATTCTAAGGGTTTGACAAGTGCTCAGGCCGAGAAGGTTTTGGCTCGTGATGGGTTAAATGCACTTTCTCCACCACGTACAACACCTGAATGGGTGAAATTCTGCAAGAATTTGTTTGGCGGTTTTGCTCTTCTTTTGTGGGTTGGCGCTCTTCTTTGCTATGTTGCACACACTGTTGATGCTATGACTCTTGAACATCCATCGAAAGACAATGTAAAAAGATTATTTTTATTTAAATATTTTTTATAATTTTAGCTTTATTTGGGAATTGTGTTGATGACTGTGGTTATTATTACTGGATGTTTTCAGTACTTTCAAGAGCGGAAAAGTTCACAGATTATGGAATCGTTCAAAAATCTTGTGCCGACTTTTGCTTTGATAATTCGTGATGGAGAGAAACGACAGGTGTCTTAACTTATCGGGCTTTTTTGGATTTTTTGATAACTTTTAAGTCCAGTTTTATCGATTCTGGGTTGATTTTCGATTCAAGGCCTTCGGGCTGTATTTATCAGGGAACGCGCCGACAGAAAATCAAATTCCCAATTTTCGGGAATCGGTAATTCACGTGCCAAAAAACGTCGAGAATTCACGATTTTCGGGAAGTGGGTCGGCGCGATCCCTGGTATTTATTAAAAGGACAGGCTTGTAACTGTCGGTCTGGGTCGTCTTGTTTTATTGGTGTATTTTAATCTTTAAATATTTTTTATAGTAATTATTTATATAGGTTTTAATAAAATTTAGATTCCAAGCGCTAATTTGGTTGTCGGTGATATTGTTGAAGTCAAGGGTGGTGATCGCATTCCTGCTGATATTCGAATTATTAGAGCGCATGGTTTTAAGGTTTGAATTATTTGGAATTTTTAAACATATTTTTAAAGGTTGATAATTCTTCTTTGACCGGAGAGTCCGAGCCACAAACTCGTACAAACGAACAATCTGAGGATGAGCCGTTAGAAGCTCGTAATTTGGCTTTCTTTTCGACTAATGCCGTTGAGGGAACTGCTACCGGTGTTGTTGTGAACACGGGAGATAGAACGGTTATTTTGATACTTTTTGTGTTCTTTTTTAACTTGAATTAACAAAAATTATTTTAGGTCATGGGACGTATTGCTCATTTGGCATCCGATTTAGATTCTGGAAAGACGCCAATTGCTCGAGAAATTGAACATTTTATTCATATTATTACAGCGTATGCTTATTTTTGTTTTTTATACTTTAAAAATTTTTTCAGTGTCGCTGTCTTTTTGGGCGTTACATTCTTTATTATAGCTTTCATTCTTGGTTATCATTGGCTTACTGCAGTCGTCTTCCTTATCGGAATAATTGTTGCTAATGTTCCCGAAGGTTTTTAAAACATTTTTGTTTTTTATTAATTATTTTTTAAAGGCTTGATTGCAACCGTTACTGTTTGCCTGACTTTGACTGCTAAACGTATGGCTCAACGCAATTGTCTTGTTAAGAATTTGGAGGCAGTTGAGACACTTGGCTCGACTTCAACCATTTGCTCTGACAAAACTGGCACATTAACACAGAATAGGCAAGTTTTGAGTTTTATGAATTTGTGTGCAGCTAATATAGTAGTGATGATTTTAAAATATGCTTTCTCGCTTCCATATTGTTTAATTTAATTTTTATAGAATGACTGTCGCCCACATTTGGCAGAATTTAAATATTGAAACCGTCAACACCTCGGAAGATGCCGCTGCTGATGATAATGTGGATAAACAGAAAAATGCATCAGAATTGCTTCGTGTTGCTGCTCTTTGCAACAGAGCTGAATTTAAACCTGGACAGGTTTAAAATTTTGTAATTAGGGTTGTATAAAAAATATTTTTCAAGGATGACGTTCCAATTCTTAAACGTGATTGCACTGGAGATGCTTCAGAAATTGCTTTACTAAAATTTGCTGAACGCTCTTTATATGGTGGAGTCATTCAGTATCGTGCTGGTCATCCTAAAATTGCTGAAATTCCATTCAATTCAACAAACAAATATCAAGTCTTTTTTTATTTTTAGCTTATTTTAGTTCAAATCTTTAAACAGGTTTCTATTCATGCGTACGAAAATGATTCCAATTTGTTGGTTATGAAAGGAGCGCCAGAAAGAGTTTTGGCTCGTTGCGATAAAATTCTAATTGATGGACAGATCCGTCAACTTGATGATAAATTAAAAGAAACATTTGAAATTGCTTATATGGAATTGGGAGGGATGGGCGAAAGAGTTCTTGGTTTTTGTGATTCTGTTCTAGATAAAGAGAAATATCCAAAGGTTGGGGAAACTATAAATCAATAATGATTTTTATGTTTTTTTAGGACTTTAAATTTGATACTGATAATCCAAACTTTCCCATTGATGGTCTCTGCTTCCTAGGGCTTATTTCAATGATTGATCCTCCTCGAGCGGCTGTACCCGATGCTGTTGCAAAATGTCGTAGTGCTGGAATTAAAGTTTAATTTAGCAATTGTTTTTTAATTTCATAAATTCAGGTTGTTATGGTTACTGGTGATCATCCAATTACTGCAAAAGCGATAGCCAAATCTGTTGGAATTATTTCCCCAGAAACTGAGACTGTCGAGGATATTGCTATTCGTAAAGGAATCCCAGTTACACAAGTTAATCCTAGGTTTTTTGATAAAGCTTGATATGATTCTATTTAAAATTGTTTATTTTAGAGAGGCAAAAGCTATTGTTGTTCATGGATCTGATTTGAGAGAAATGTTTATTTTCATCATTTTTTAAATTAAATTTTAATATTTTATAGGACTGAGGATCAGCTTAACGAGATTATTGCTGAACATTCTGAAATTGTGTTTGCTCGAACATCGCCTCAACAAAAGTTGATGATTGTTGAAGGATTCCAACGTAGCGGGCAGATTGTTGCAGTTACTGGGGATGGTGTTAATGACTCTCCTGCATTGAAAAAAGCAGATATTGGTGTTGCTATGGGTTTGTTTTTATTTTCAGAGATTTTAAAAAAATTAAAATCAGGCATTGCTGGCTCTGATGTTTCAAAACAAGCGGCGGACATGATTCTGTTGGACGATAATTTTGCTGTAATTTTTTTAGATTTTTAAAATATTAAAAAATTTAGTCGATTGTTACTGGCGTTGAGGAAGGACGTTTAATTTTTGATAATTTGAAGAAGTCGATTGCTTATACACTTACTTCAAACATCCCAGAAATTTCTCCATTTCTCGTTCATATTATTCTTGGAATTCCATTACCATTGGGAACAGTTACAATTCTTTGCATTGATTTGGGGACGGATATGGTTATTTTATATTTAGAAAAATAAATTTTTTTAACAAAGGTACCAGCAATTAGCTTGGCTTATGAAGAGTCAGAGTCTGACATAATGAAGCGTCAACCTCGCGATCCTTTCCGAGACAAACTTGTTAATGAACGTTTAATTTCTTTAGCTTATGGTCAAATTGGAATGATACAGGCATCTGCTGGATTCTTTTCTGTAATTTTAAATTAATCATTAAACATTAAAAAATTAATTTTAAGTACTTTTGGATTATGGCTGACAATGGATTTATGCCTCTTGATTTGTTCCAACTCCGCGCTGAATGGGATTCGCGTGCAATAAATAATGTTTTGGATAGCTATGGACAAGAATGGGTAAAAAATTTAATTTTTTAATATTTAAACAATTTTTATTTTTAGACCTATGCAAACCGAAAAATTTTGGAACATACATGTCAAACTGCCTATTTTGTCTCCATCGTTATTGTCCAATGGGCTGATCTTATAATTTCTAAAACCCGCCGAAATTCAATTGTTCAGCAGGGAATGTCTAATTGGATTTTGAATTTTGGATTAGTTTTTGAGACTGTACTTGCTGCTCTTCTCTGCTACCTTCCTGGAACAGATCAGGGCCTTCGCATGTATGGACTTAGGTGAGTTAGATTATTCCTTCTGTTTAAACGAATTAATGTGGTCATTTAAAGATTTACTTGGTGGTTCCCGGCAATCCCCTTTTCGATACTCATTTTTGTTTACGATGAATTTCGCCGTTATTTGATTCGTCGTTATCCAAAAGGATGGGTTGAGCGTGAAACTTATTATTGATAGTTTGGAGGATAAATAAGGAAAATATATGTTTGTCCTATTGAATTTTGATTTAAAAAATTTTTAGTTAAGAAAACAATGATTTTAGTAGAATTAAATTTCCGTAAAATTTTCTTTTAACATTTTAGGCAATTGATTAAATCCTCTTTTTGTTGTAAAAACAGAGTTGTTATTAAAGTTTAAAGAAAATCTTTAAATATATTGGAAAATATTCCTTTAATGGTCTTTTTAGTTTTTTAAAAAGCAAAATATTTTTCGTTTCTAATTAACTAAATAGTTTATAGCAACTCTGTCTTAAAATCTTTAAAAATACCCTTCTAACAATACATAAATCTTGTGTTTCTCTATAGATTTGCTGACAAATAAAAAGTCTTTTAATTTATCTTTTAAAAAGTCTTAATTTAGCAGATAAAATTGGAAAAACAAAGCAAATAAAAATCATAAAAATTCAAAGAAAGCCTGTGATTTCTGCTATATTTACTCGGAGTATTAATAAATAATAACCAAAAATTGGACTGGACATCTGTTAAAATTTCTTAAGCTTTGTTGGGTTTTTTGCATAAGCTTAAAACATGCAACAAACATTTTAACATTGCCGTTTTCGATTCTGGTTTTTCAATTTAAAAATTTTTCATATTGATTTTTCGACGTATGTGGGAGGGGTGAAGGTTTTTAATAAGGAAGTAAAATCTATTAACACGTCTTCATATATTAAACAATGGAAAATGACTGATTAATTTATTAAATTAAAATTCGAAATAATTTATTTTATATAGACATTAAAATTTTATTTTTAATTAGTTAGAGAAAATGTATTGGATTTATACATTTCTTTTATTTTTTCCCTTAAAACAATCAACTTGTTTGTCTAGTCTTTCATGTTTTGGGAATGAAAAACAAATTACTAATAATATTAGTGATAAACAAATTAATTGTGTTGCCGATTATCTTTTGATTGAAAGAAATCTTCAAGCTGAAAATTTTATTGAAAAAGTTGGTAAGGAAGTGAAAGTTATTAGAGGAATTCCAAAAAAATTGGTTAAAAATTTTAAAATTGAAGAAAATGAAATGAAAGAATTTTATGAAGAGGATAATTTTTGTTTTGAAGAAAACAAAGAATTTGTTATTGAAGATGAAAATACTTCAAAAAAAGTTTTAGTTGTTAAATATCTTGTTAAAAATATTAAGAAAAAATATTTAATTTTGTCGGATGAATATCAAGATTTTGGTAAGAATAATTAAATATTTTTAGGAAAAACTTGCTTTGTGGGACCAGAATCTGATTCGGTCGATATACCGTAAAAACTTAAAGTCCCTCCCTTAAATAATTATCCTGCCTATTAATCCCCCTCTAGCGAGAGATTGAAACAATGATTCCCAGGGTAATTATCTTTAGTAAATACGGTACATATCATTCGAAAGTGCGAGGTGGGCATGTCTGCTGGATTTCTCCACAGCGGCAAAATCTGTTTCGCGGAGACTTAATCTAAGGGGTCTTTCCCTTGTCAAAACTTGTTCAATCACGTTAAGTTTGGTGTTATTCGACTCAGTTCTGAGTGTTGTTTCGAATGACATACTATATGGACTAAGTTGGAGTCCGTTACCTATCTTGAATCAAAAATTGTCCTTAATTTTGATATCCGAGAAAATATTTTTCCTAGATCAATTTAATTGTGTTGCCGATTTTCTTTTGCTTTCTAAAAATACCCAAACAAAACCTTTTGGTAAAAAAATCGGCGATGAATGGAAAATTCAACAAGGTATTTTAGAAAGTGTAAAGGATATTAAAATAAATAAAAAAGAAATGGAAAAAATTATGGGGGTTAAATACGCAAATGAATGTTTTAAACTGAATGGATTGGTTAATAAAAACGAGAAAGTTTTGGAAGTTAAAAATATTTTAAATAAAATGGAAAATAAATATTTAATTTTATCAAAAATTTATCAAAAGAAATTGGGTAAATTTTAATTTAAAAAATTAATTTAATGAGGCAAAATTCTGTCATACGTCCCGGAAACCGATTTGGACAAAAGATATGTCATTCGAAAGAGCTCGGCGAGTTGAGTGCTTCGGGACTGACCCATCGAGTGACATATCGTTTGTCCGAATCGGTTTCAGGGACATATGACAGAATTTTTTCTATAATTTTAAAGAAAAACAGTCTTCTTGTTTGGCATTTTTTCTCTTAAAAATATTCGGATTTAACAAAGAATATTTAATTGAATACGAAGCACCAAAGGAGATATCTAACCAGATTGATGCAATATATAATCATTATAAACTTCCAATTAAAGAGCTTAATAAAGTTTATAGATGGGATAATTTACCCGAAGAATTTAGTTATGAGGACGTGAATTTTAAGGAAAATACAAAAGAATATAAAGAATTAAATAAATGCAATGAAATTCTTAACACAAAAACTAAGCAAGAATTTTAATTTTGAAATTATAAAAAAAAATTTGTTTGAATTTTAGAACCAAAAATCTTTTTTCAAAGATATACAGTCATTTCTTTCAAAAGAATTTCTTTTTAAACAAAATTCCAAAAATTGGTGATTGTAAGTAGAAATTAATTGACATTAATTAATTTTTTAAAAATATAGCTGTAAATATAGAGGAAAAAGATGTTGAATGTGTTGTTTGTTCTACAGAATTTGAAATTAGAGAATCTGCACAGAAATTAGAATGCGGGGTTCGTTGAAGTTTTTAAATATTTTTTGTTTAATTTTGTCCTCCTGTTATTTTATTGCCGTTTGTTTAGAAGAGCTTGTCTAACAGGATAAAAGAAAGCATTAGTCGGTGTCCCGATAGCTCAGTGGTAGAGCTCCTGTATATGGGGAGCGAAAGCTCCTAGCCATATTTGTCAGGAGGCCGCAGGTTCAATCCTGCTCAGTGGCTAGGCTTTTGCTAAACTCTTTATTTTGTTATTTTTTAACTGTCTTGACGTCGTTTATTCAATTATTGTCCTAACTAAATTTACTCTAAATTATTTTAGCACAAATTTCATGAATTTTGCATTATAAAATGGTAATAATAATTATTTTGTATTTAAATTAATTTAAATTAAAAAGGTTTTATACAAAAGAAGCGGATGAGATCGGTTCTTTTAAGGTATTTTTATATTAATAATAAATATTTAAATATTAAATTTATTTAACAGAATACAAAAGCTTGCCCACTTTGTCGTAAACAAATAGAAATTGAAGAAACAAACAACCCTTAAAAGTAAAGAAAATTTTAAATTAAATATATTCTATATATTTACCTAAAATAACCTTTGAAGAATAATTTTAATTAAATTAAAATCATCTAAATTTACTCAAAATTTAAAATTTTTGAAAAATAATTAGAATTAGAGACCGAATCAAGACGAAATCTCGATCAAAAATCCGAGTTTATCGAGATTTATCGAGATCTCGATTCTCGTACGTCCCTTCCATTCCGATCTCTAATTAGACTTATGTTTATAATTTCAGAGTTTTTTAAGGGAAAAGTGATTGATGTTTTGCCTAAAAATGTACAAATTTCATAACGTTTTAAAATGTTTATTTTTTAAATGGAAGGCCGAAGTTTTTACGTTTTCATTGTTCTAGAATTTGAACAAAGAGATGAAATTAATGTTTTATTTTATATAACTTGTAAAAAAACATATCTACTATTTATATATTGTAAAAGTTTTTTTCAATGTGATAAATTTATTAAACATTTTATATACTAATCCTAACCCTTCTAATTGATAGCAGCTTTAACGGTCCTAGATATAAAATGCCGTATTTTCTCTAAAAGAGCTGCATTCCGCTCTATTTTTTAATTTCCTTTCAAAGGGCCACTATTGTAAAAAACTGAGATTTTTAATTTTAATTAAATTTTTAAAAATCATCCAATAATTATTACGATTATTGAATGTTATCTTTTTAATGTTTTAACTTAATTAAAATTTAAAACTATAAGAAAAGCTGTATTTAATATTTTTAATTTTTAAAATCTAATTTTTTAAAATCTAATCAACTAAATAGAAACGACCGCTTTATTTTTTATAAATAAAATTTTCGGTACTATTTATCAATCAAAACTAGAGTTGCGCGAGATCGAGATTTTAGAAAAAATCCGAGACCGAGATTGACCGAGACTCGCATAACCGAGACCGAGACCGAGATGCAAAATTTGACCCGAGACCGATATCGAGCTTCGAGATAATCCAATATTTTTCAAAACTTTTTTTATTGACCAAAACCCATCCAAATTAATTAAATATCATCTAAATCATCATCAAAATCATCTGTTTCATCAGAATCAATTTCAGTTTGTGGACCAATCAACAGTTTATCCATATTTGCCTTTACAACTAGAATTTTTTCCAACATTTCTACAGAAAGACTTAATTATAAAAATTTAAGTAAATATATATACCGATTAAATATACCGATTCCTAAGTGCATTACCAAAAAATAACCCAGCCTTGCTAAATAAACATTCCAAGCTTACTAACGAGGCAGAGATGGGTGGACCATCGAATCAACTTATCCTTCGCAGTTTATTTCCGACTAACTTTTCGACCCTTGTATCCATAGAATCAATTAAACATTTAACAAAATTATCCAAAATTGAAGGAATTTTATTATCTTTTTTTAGAAAGTCCCTTATTCGCCTAAATGTAGGCAAAACTGTAAAAATAAATCTCAAGAAGGTCAATCTTTAGGGGTGTATACTGATCTCGGATCTCGGCGAGATTAACTACCGAGAATCTCGTCTCGGTTAGGTTGTCTCGTCTCGGCAAAACCGAGACCGAGATTGGAAAATGACCGAGATTCTCGTCTCGGTCTCGGTCGAGATATCGATCTCGCGCAACTCTAATCAAAACTTCAACGAATCATTGTTTGGAAATCAATCCTGAATCAAATTAATCTCCCTATTAACTCAATCATTTCTGGAAATTACTCTTTTCTTAAACTATCAAATACTATTGGAATTTAAAAAAATTACAAGATAATTTTGATTTATTTTCACCCATAAACTCAGTAAATAAAGAATTGGTTGTTGAATGATTGAGCGGTTAATAACCAATGCTTATGATAGTTCCCACTATAGATTTGGCCACTTTTCTATATAGTTTTAAATTTTAAGTAAGTTGAAACATATCAAAATGATTACACCCAATAATCGCAAGAATGAGCTACTGAACAATCCTTATTACTTTAATAAAAATTTTGTTGCATAGTATTGGCATAGATCGGTTTGGATATCGGATATAAGGCTTTTCTGGTTTGGCACTTTATTAAGACCATTAAAAATTTAGAAGAAACTTTTATTTTCACATCACATTTTTTTCCGTTTCCGCTTCCGCCTTCTTCAGAATATTTTAACAAAAATTTCCTTTTAAATTAATTGTCTATTAAAATAAATTTACAATCATTAAATCAATAATTAAATTTTAATTCCCCATTCAATCGTCTATGTTAGACAGGCCTTTTGTTAAATAGAATAGATGCCCTTAAATATTTAATTAATCAAAATTAAAATTTAAATTTTAGAGAAGCTTTCCATTATTTAATTTTTAAATAGAAAAAAATGAGATTAAAATATAAAATTATATTATTTTATATTTTAATTAAATGTTTAAATTCTAAAAAAATTAATTGTGTTGCCGATTATCTTTTGATTGGAGAAAATATTCAAACAGAAATTTTTGCTAAGAAAAATTGGAAAGGATGGAAAATTCAAAGAGGAATTTCAAGAGATATTTCCAAAAATATTAAAATAAATAAAAATAAAATGAAAAAAATTATGGGGGCTAAATACACAAATGAATGTTTTAAATTAAATAAAAAGTTTGTTAATCAAGATGGGAATGTTTTGGAAGTTAAAAATATTTTTGATAAAATAAAAAATAAATATTTAATTTTATCTGAAAATTATCAAATAAAATTGGGTAATTTTTAATTAAAAAATAAAGTACATGCTATATTATACGTTTATCCGCTTCACATTTTACTTTATTTCTCCTTTCTCTAAAAAAGTACAGTTGGGTAAAGGAATATATTCTCATAAAATTTTAAAAAACAACAGAGCTTGTTCTACTGGGATGTCCGTGGGTTTTCCGAGAAGTTTTATTTTGGATCCAAGGTAGCATTCAAAATAGCTGCACTCGGCTATGCTTTGGTTTGGGCTCTTTCCGTGAAGGTTCTATTCCATCTCCCATCCAATTAATTTTTCCAAAGCATGAACATCTACAATGGATGTCCTACTAGCAACTCAATGGGCTCATTAAAATTAAAATCCCTGTGCTTCTGTTAAAACATTTACCTTAATTTAATCCTTCAGTGTATTTAAACCTTTTGTAATATTTATAAGAAAGAAGGAAAAAAATGAAAATGTGGTGTGAATAAATTTAAAAATAATAAAAAATAAAATTAATTTTCTATAGAAAAGCAATCTTTTTGTTTGGCTAATTTTTTGTTTAAACATTTTGGGGCAAATCATTTATTTCAAAATTCAATTCCAAACAAAATAAAAACAGAAAATGACGCAATAAATAATTATTTCAAAATTTTTTCAAATAAAGTTTTCTTTTGGAATTGGCAAAAATCAAAATTGCCAAAAGATTTTAAATTAGATTTGAAGTTTGAAAAAGGAACTGAAGAATTTATTGAATTAAATAAATGTAATGAAATTTTGAAAGTTTATGAGAGGTTTGGAAATTAATTAGTATTTTAAATAAAAATTTATTTAAAAATTAAATCAATTTTTGTAAAATAAAGCTATTTTGACGGTGAAAAAATTTGTTTCCTAAAAATTATTGTTGAAATAGCTAAACAAACTAAAATAAAGTAAAATATTAGGCTGTCCATAATTTGTATTTTTCTTGTTTACATCCAAATAATTTTATACCCAAACACCCAAATAACCTAATTAATGAACAAAAAATATAATATTAAATAATATTAAAATTACAAAATCAAAAAAATATTTCTAATTTTTATTTCAAATTAATATTTTAAGTGTGAAAATAACTGTTGAGAATAATCAAAAGTCTGTCAATTTCAATAAAATATATAGACGTTTTGACCCATTTCAATTTTATTTTGACAAAATTCCGAAATGTAAGTCTAATTATTTTTTGTATTTATTTGGAATTAAAAAGTCAGTTAAAGACTGAAAATTTTTAGATTTTTCATTTATACTTGGCTAGCCTTATTCAAAGTTTTCTTTATTTTCTCACCTCTCATTTAAAATTTTTTGTATAAAAATAATTTATTAAATCAAAATTTAAGCTATAGAAAATCTTACAATCAAAGTAAGTTATGAAGATATATGTAACTATTGCTCGTTAGAGTTTGAGAAGGGAGAAGAAATAATTAAAGTAAACGCATGCAAAGTAATTAATTAAATAAAATAAATTTTTAAATTTCCAATTTTTAGCATTTGTTCCACAAAAATTGCTTTGATTATTGGTAAAAATTTAAGGTTTTATGGGATTTTAAATTATGAGTATCCCGTATATGCTCGGGTATTTGCCATCCTTAAAATAACTTCCTCCAGTTTGGTTTGAAACAGTAAATGCCCATTGTCATTAATACAAGTGTAATTATTGTTCCAATCTATCTCTGGATGGGGCAATTAATAAAAGTGGGGGTAATTATTTGAGGGAGGGCGATTTGTTATAAAATATTTTTAAAATTTTTTTTTATTATTTTCTCAAATTAAAACAGGATTAACAAAAATAAAGAAAATAATGGATATTTACTAAAGGACATTGGGATAATTGTAATATTTTATTTTGTTAAAAATTAAATTTTAATTAATTTTTAAATTTAAAATAGACTAACAAATGTCCAGTCTGTAACAATATTATTTTAATTCAACAAGAATCTAAAATAGAAAATAATCTTAAAAATGAA